AGAAGCAAAAAGTAAAACAGCAGGAGAAGAAGAAATGATAAAGGTAATCATGACATTTTTCTATGGAATAATACATGGCACATATGATGTGACTACATCTCTTAAATGTTGCATCACTTATTATCACTTTAAAGGTTTAAATTCATAGCTTTTTATACTGTCTCCAAATAAACTTTAATTATAAATCCCGTAACTGACTGTTTGCACCATGTGGTAGAGAAATACATCTAAGAGCTACCTTGTTATTCTCTCCATTTATTAGTGTCTTTTTCTGAGTAGTTAGTTCCACATGCTTCTTAGGCCTGTGTCTTCTTTCTTTCTTGCCTGCCTTTTAAGTTATAATTTTTTAAATAAATGATCTGTTCACATGGTTCAAAATTGTTTAAATACAAGCATGTAAAGCATGTCTCCCATCTTTCTGTAGCCTTCTTGAGTTCCTATATAAAAAATGAGTTTTTGTAATTTTCTACTCTCCTGAAGTTAGCCTGCTGTACATACTCTTTTAGACCTTGATATTTTTTCCTTTACATTGTATGCTAGAGATTTTTTGTTATCATTATTTAGAAAGTTTTCTCTCTTTTTAATAGCTATATAAGACTCCATTTTAGGTGTGCTCCATAATTTAATCAGTTCCTTATAAATCGAAATTTAGATGATTTCAGTCTCTTATCCTTATAAACAGTGCTGCAGGACTTAACTTTGAATACACCTCATTTTGTAGGTGTGCAAGTATATGTGAGGATAAACTTCCAGAGGCAGGATTACAGGGTCAAGGGTACATGCATTTGTAATTGTTAGATACTGCCAAATTGTCCTCCCTAGGAGTTATACTAATTTAAACTCCCACTGGCATGTATGAGAAGGTTATGAGTTTAATACTTGAGCATCCATGTTGCTAGTCACTATATAAAATATATAAACGTCATAGCAGAACTTTCAGAGCCTTAGCCCTCAAATTCTGGATCTCTTAATGAATAAGTAAGTCTTCCTTACATGAACAGAAACACAAAGCACCTAAAACGTGTGTGTGTGTTTTAATTTTTTTAACATTTTTTATTGTGTTATAGTCATTTTACAATGTTGTGTCAAATTCCAGTGTAGAGCACAATTTTTCAATTATACATGAACATACCATATATTCATTGTCACATTTTTTTTTCTCTGTGAGCTACCACAAGATCTTGTATATCTTTCCCTGTGCTATACAGTATAATCTTGTTTATCTGTTCTGCATATGTCTGTCAGTATCTACAATAAACTAGAAATTTCTTTCTCCCAGACTTAACTTCCCTAATCCTTTTCTTTATTTCATTGTAAGAGTTGTACAGGCATCTTCATATCAAGGTGAAAGTCCTATTAAATAAAACTGTAAAGTAGATAATCAGGTAGTTATA